AGCACCTGCTGGAGCCTAACTGCTGAGTCAGCATACAGTTTCACCCCAGAAAAAAACGGCAAATGCTTCAAATCAGGACTCCTCGTGACTTTGTCATTAATCATTTACCAGCACACCATTGATCACTTTGTGTCTGGAAAGGCTGTGTCCCTGACAGGTTCTGCCTGAGTCGTGTCCCCTCCTGTGCTGAGCAGCCTCCTCAGAGCCTCATGATTCAGAGCAGAGTGTCTACAGAAAGGGTTGGAACTGCCAGCAGATGTGGGGAAAAGGAGCTGGCCTGACAAGCCAAGCCACAGAAGGCTATTCCAGAGGGTGAAGGAGAGGGAGGCATCTGAGAGGATGCTCCACCTTGTGGACATTTAGGTAGAAAGTAAGGTGCAGGGCACAGATGTGGAGGCTTCAGGATGCAGATTTCACCTTGGTTTAAGGGAAGACTTCTTTAAGGATCTAACCCTTTTATTTTATTTGCAGTTTTTGGCCAGGGCCAGGTTTGAACCTGCCACGTCTGGTATATGGGTCCAGAGCCCTACTTCTTTGAGCCACAGGCACTGCCCCAATTGAAAGAGAGGCACTTGACTGGCAGAGATCTCATAGACCACCAAGGCTTGTATGAAAGGATTTTATTGGGGGTGGGGGTGAGGGAGGTTGCAGAGCAGCACCAAGGAGGAGAGAAAAAGAGAAGAGGGGAGAGAGATGAGGAAGAGTGGAGAAGAGAAGAGAAAAAGAGGGAGAGCAGAGAATAGCGAGGGGGGTTGGGTGGGGAGAAACGTACCCTTATATAGGGAAGTCTCAGAATGGTGAGGGGATGGTGGGATAACCAATAAGGAGTTATTGCTCTGGAGGAAAGAGTCATTTGGGGCGGGCAGCGGGAAATTGGAACAGGGTGATGAGGTAAGCGGGCCACTCCCTGTGCTTGGGGAGGAGTTGTAACTTTAAGGGTAGGAAGGGGCTTTTTGAGGCAATTATCTAACACCAAAGGTCTAACTCTTAACTGTTCATTCAGCCTCTCCCATGTAGTAAAAACCCTTTATAGATGTACAACACAACAAATTTACACATTCTAAAGTTAAGCCACTTACTGTGGTGTAAATATTCCCATCATGGCCAATTATCAATGTGATGTTGATGAATGCAGAGTTGGGAAGAGATGTGCCTAGTCAGCTCTCACGTACTGATGACAGCTGGCTCTAGCACATCAGCCTGTCTCTACCTTTCACCTTCAGTTTCCACTTGGGAGTAGAGACACCCAGCAGAAGCATGACTGGAATGCTCCAAGTGGAATAGTAGCTAATAGCCTCTAAGCACTTGTGATGGGTCAGGCACTGTTCTAAGGGCTTACATTAAAGAAATTTAATCCTCACAGCAAACCTGTGCAATAGGTAGAAGTGAGGAAAACTGAGGCTTGGGGGAAATAACCCAGTTCAAGGTTACACGGCCAATGTTAGGAGAGCTGGGATATAGACAAGCTTCAATGGTCTTTCAGTGTCTGTGATCTTAAAAATTCACACTAAAGTATTTCTCTAAAATTGCACAATCTAATATAGTCACCACTAGCCACACTGGTGATTTAAATATAAATTAATTAAAATCAAATAAAATTGAGTTCTTCAGTCATATTTCCAGGGTTCGATAGTCACATGTTGCTATGGCTACTGTACTGGAGAGCACAAATAGAAGACATTCCCAGCATCATAGAAAGTTCTACTAGACATAGCTCCTCTTAAAAGATGATTGGAAGGGAAGAAGTCACACCTATTTGCTTGGAAACACAGAGTGTTTAATGGGTTTTGCTGACAGTTATTACATAAAGATTCAAAATGCACAGTTCCATGTCTCTTTTGTTCTGAGATAAGCAAATTCATTCACCTGTTCGTTCATTCATTCATTCACTTATTCAACACATATTTACTGAGCACCTCCCATGTTCCAGGACCTGTGCTAGGTTCTGGGGATAAAACGATAAGCAGGGGGACACAGCCCCTGCTCTCCAAGAGCTCACAATCTGATGGAGGAGGCAATGTTCTTGGGTGGTATTTTGAGAAGGAAAAGATGTGGGGAGGGAGAAAAGGAACAAGAAAGAATTTCATTTTGGACATTCTGAGTTTGCTGGGAGGATGTGAGGGACAGGAGCTCAAGAGCAAGGTCAGGGAATACAGGCTTGAAAATCATTAGCCTCAAGGTGATCATCATTAAATAAAGAGCCTGCTTAAGCTTACACAGGGGGTATGTGCAGAGTGATATGGGAATGAACCAAGGACAAAGCCAACCTCAGGAAATGCCAACATACCAGGCGCAGGTAGAGAGACAGGGCCAATGAAGGAGCTTGAGAAACAACATCCAAGAATCACAAGGAAGTGGGGTCACCAAAATCAAGAGCTAGGAGTGTTGATTGATTCAGAGAGGCAAAAAAACCATAAGGACTAATAAGTATCTACAAGAGCTGATCATGGTTAAAGCCATTTTATTATTATTATTTTTTTATTTTTTAGAGACAGAGTCTCACTTTAGCGACCTGGGTAGAGTGCCATGGCATCACAACTCACAGCAACCTCCAACTCCTGGGCTTAGGTGATTCTCTTGCCTCAGCCTCCCAAGTAGCTGGGACTACAGGCACCCACCACAACATCTAGCTATTTTTTTGTTGCAGCTTGGCTGGGGCTGGGGCCCTATCCATTGAGCCATAGGCGCCGCCCTATTATTATTTTTTTTGTGAGTGTCAAGCTGTCACCCTAGGTAGAGTGCTGTGGCATCATAGCTCACAGCAACCTCCAACTTCTGGGCTTAAGCAATTCTCTTGCCTCAGTTTTTTCTATTTTTAGTAGAGATGGCATCTCACTTTTGCTCAGGCTGGTCTTGAACTTGTGAGCTCAGGCAATCCACTCGCCTCAGCCTCCCAGAGTGCTGGGATTGGTTAGAGCCTTTTTAGTGGAGAACTGGGAATGGCATCCAGTCTTTAGTGGGTCCAGGAAGAATTGGAAGGTGAAAAAAAGGCTGATAATAACCATGCAACTAAAAATACATATTCAGCTTTGAAGATTATGATCCAAGAGTCCCCACCATTTTTATAGATTCCACTTAAGAAGGCCAGTGAGTGGAGAAATGTCAAGGATCAGGATGAAGAAGCAATAATGGATGAAGCATAGTCTGGAGGCCACCAGGGAAAAGGGCCCAGAGCACAGGTGAGAAATGAGCTGTGGGGAGGAGGAGGGACTCACATGTCCCTGGTCTGAGAGGGAAGGGGGAGGACAGCAGAGACACAGGGTACAGTTTGTGATGTGCTCTGCACTGCGATTTTAGGAAGAAGGGATACAAAATGTGGCCATGAATATGGGGAAATGACTAGTGGTTTGGCAGACAACAGTGATGAAGAAAGGAAGACAGTTTTCCTGGGATGTTTTATATGGGGGTGGAAGAGTGATAATTGAATATGCCAGTTAGGTCCCTGAGAGAGTGTCAGTGCCATCCCTAAGTCAGTGGTATGAGGGCTTGAAAAAATTGTCAGTTTTCCCATAAAACCTTCTAGAAAGGAATTTCCCCAATGAAGACCCAAACATCAGATATGTGCATTCTGTGAAAAGGTGGCCCTTTTGCAGTTTCCAGACAGGGCTCTCAGGGAGACAGTGAGTCATTCTGGAGGTGAAAAGGTGAAGATGAAGGGAGTAATATTTTAGGCAGAGATAACAAATTTGGGACACGATGGGATCACTTGATTTCAAGATGTTAGGCAGAACTCTAGGGTCCACAGTAGCCCCAGGTCGTGTGAAAGTCTTGGGGAAGCTCCAACTAAATGACTTTGTTACAGGAGCTCCCCAAAACATTGATGAGATATGTGGCAAATCAGAATGTAACAAGCCAATCTTGGGATTGGTTGGTTCCCAGGACTCTCACTTCTCCAATGGAAATCATGACAGCCTTCCAGGAGATGAGAATAAGTCATTCTCTGAGAAATCCCAACCCAGGCAGAGAGGAGTCCACATTAGAATTCTCCTTCTGATGGGAAAAGCAGAAGTTCTCAGGGCATGGAAAGAAATTGATCAAGGGGAAGTGGTAATGAGTACTTGTGGTAATTAGCACTGAGAATGGAGCTTCACTGGGGCCTGGTAAAGACCACCCAGGCACAAGGAACCAAATTAAGTCACCAAGGGCCCATTCTGCTAAAGCAATGGTCATCAGGTCTGTGTGTTTCTAAGTTTCTCTCTCAGCTCCACCCTGAAAGGACGTTTTCAAACCTACTTGGAAAATGGATGGAAAAATCACAGACATTGTTCAAGTAGCCCTCACTTCCCAGGGAGCCACAAGCCCTCGTGATGAAAGTGGAGAAGGGAAACTTTCCCTCTCTGTGTGTTCTAGAATATTTACAGAACTAGATTTGGAACCCAGATTTTAATGGAAGCCTCAGATGGTTTGTGCAAGGCCCCCCCATTTCTGCACATGCCCCATTCTGAAAAGGTTTCAGGTCTCCAAACAGAACATGAATGGCCCAAACACAGCCCCTTCTTCATCACTCCATACCCACCTGACGATACCAGACACCACCCATCCCACATCTAGATCCTGAATACTCTAGGATTCAGGGGCCCCAGAGACACCTGCACAGAGGGATGAGCAGCCACCTGAGACTTCAGCCACCTGCCACCCTCAGCTCAGTTGTCACCTTTTCCATGATATCCATGGCGTGCATGCACTCCAGGCACATGCCAGTCTCTGCACCCCTCCTCGGCATAGTTCACCACTGAATTTATTACACTGCACTTTAAATGTTTGTTT